TCCTGGGATGATGATATTGTGGTTATACTATGGACGATCTGGAAATAATTCAGGAAAGTAAAGTTCACTGCAAATCGACATGGTGACTGTCATATTGACAATGGTAAAGCCATTGCATAGGCTTATGTCTATGCACAAAATGAATTCATTATTTTCTATACATTGCTGCAAGCTTCTGTCATAATAACTAACAACTTGGAAGGTAATTAAATTCATCAAACAGTTTCTTTTCTTATTTTTGCCTAAAAGCAGGATGGAGAACCGCCTTTTTCAGTTGCATTACCAATGAATCAGGATACATAATTTCTTTATCTGCATGTTTTAGGTTTTTGCTATATCGATGCATGAATTAATTTTTGTAGTAGTAATCAATTCAAAGGTTGGAGTTACTGCTGAAGTTTGCTAATATAGTTTGCCCCCCTTTGTATATCATTTGTCCTGAATGACCTAATTTCTTTCTCTTTGATTTGCAGGAATTGTTATTTCAAATAAAAATATAAAGATATGTAAGGGCTCATCCTTGAAGAAGAACGCCTCTAATCCATATGCATACAAACCAAACACAGCCATTGTACTGCCACAAAACTGAAATCTTTACATTGTTAGAGAATCTACCGAGAATAAGTTTTACATCAGTCCTAGACAACCTAGCTCCTGTTGTCTTACGGAAAAATCAAAAGAACATCTTTTCCATGTGCGTGAGCAAACTGTTACATCATAAATATGAGCATTCTCTGTCTGCAGAGGGAAAGAAGCCGACATCCAAGAATAATTCGAGAATCACATAGAAGAAAGGGAAAGCAAATGGCAACCGGAACAGCAGGACCAGCTGGCTGGATATCAGATGTGTAATAGGCCATTCCTAAGAAAATCATCAGCAGTTCCCTTGACCATCCCCAACTTTCTGATAAAACCAGATGACCTCCACCATGCCAAACTGGTTTCTCCATTGTCATTCCTGATCCATTGGTAATGCAACTGAAAAAGGTGGTTCTCCATCTGCTTTTACGCAAAAATAGGAAAAGAAACTGTACAAGATTAGCTTGATGAATTTAGTTACCTTAAATATTTGTTAGTGACAGAAACTTGTAGCAACATATAGAAAATAATGAAATTCATGTTGTTCATACACATACACCTATGCAGTGGCTTTACCATTGTCAATATGCCAGACACCATGTCGGTGTGCTCTGAACTATACTTACCTAAAATTATTTCCAGATCTTCCATCGTATAACATTCACAGGTTTATAGTTCATAACTTGAAATGTCATCATATAAATGCCCCGCGCAGTTAAATCTTAATATTCACGGAGACAATTGAATGGAATATGCAACTTAAAATGAACTGCTCGCTGCAATTTAGATGGGTTCTACATTGTTCTACTTCGAGTGAGAAAAAAATTTTTGTATGTACAACAAAAAACCTGCAAAAGGAATTTATTATTTCCATATGTATTTATTACCACTTTCACCATCAGATGCATCTGCAAGTCTTGCAATGGCATCAACTAATGCCTGTTCATGTTCCTGCAACATGATACGATATAATGGATTACATTTATGGTGTTATAAACAACAGAAAAGAAATTATTACTTTTTTAAGAAGAAGAGCATACATTCAGGATCTTACCTTAAGCATCTTCTTTGCATTCTCAAGCTCACGGGGATCTGGATGACTCGCATCAAAAACCCTTTCCACCTGATAATTTATATGAGAAAACATCACTAAACATGTTTTTGTACTACATTAACTGTGCTGAGTGCTCAACACACACCTCTTTCACCAGAGTCTCCGTGTTTAATAATTCAATATCATCCGACAATTTCCTTCCACCACCATTCTGTGTTGATTGGACGTCCTTTTTAAACTGACTCTTTGTGGAACCTCTCCCTCTCCCAGGACCTGGTACTGGAGTGCCCCGGCTAAAAGCTTTCTTGCTTCCATGGCCTGGCCCACCGTGCCCTCCTCGATAGGATATTGCAGGGTCTTCACCATCCCATCTAATATCCTCTGGAGAAATCTGCAATCAGTGAGATGTCAACATTGTCTGTCTCATGACTAGTTCACACCCCTTAAAAAGCAATTCATTCCCCGAAGTAAATTGGAAAGCAATAGTGTCAATCTCCTTAAGAACATCATAGCCATATTTGGACCCAAGTGACAACACTAACAATGGCAAATGGCTAGAGGAAATCAGCAGAGTATGTGAATAGGACAGGAGATCACAATGATTTTTATTGTTCTGGATGATCTTGTTGCTCAAAGATAATAAATGGGCTATCAAATTAACCTCTTGCCATTTCCCTTTAGGAGCATTTCAATCAAGAAGGAAAAAGGATTTCAATTTTTTCCCTACAAATTTTTGTTCTCTATCCAGATGTTTGGGGGCTCAAATAATTCCCTTCTATTATTTTGAAAATCTAGACATTATGGTTCTGTCTGTTTCAGACTAATATCATTTGTCAACATTATTTTTCACCCTTAGTTTTTATTTCAAAAACTATTATTTGTTTTTGTCCATGAATCTATATCGAGTTAGAAAATAAAAGTTCAAAGTAGTTCTTTTACAACTAAAGAAAGCCTGTACCTGAAAAGATCTAGAGAAGGCCTAATATTTAGTTTCGCCGTTTAAGAAGTTCCAACAGTGTTTTTCAAAAATTTTACTCTTTGAGAGATGTATTCTGATATAAGTGTGTACGTAGGCAATGGAAAATGAGCCTTTGTAATGTTCTAGGGTCAGAAATAAGTAAAATTAGTGAGAGGCAATCTTGAAGATTAAAAGAGCAAAAAACAGAGAGGAACAAACCAGAAGAGACAGGTGAATATATGTCAGCCAGCAGGGCTAAATGTGCATTGGACCCTAACATTACACTTCAATCTAAGATGCTAAGGCCTGCAATTGACTATAGAAATGATGGCGGCCAATCTTCGGACGAGATCAAGGTTCGGTAGTGGGCCTGTTGAAGGAAATCTAGTTGTGGTAAGCTCCAGAAAGGAGCCTGATTTGCTTGAGCTAGGTCCCAGTGAAAATACATGATTCTGTAACATGTTAAGTAAAAATTTGGCTGTCTGTCTTTTTTCTTGTTCTTTGAATGATGAGCCACTATTTTGTTATTTTTCACTTAATCTTCTGTAAAGATATTAAAATAAATAAATAAATGAAATGACACTAGAAACTTGATTCAGAACCTAAAGAAAAAGACAATTACTCCCTTGCTTTTCCATCCTCTTGGCTAGATGCAGGGTAGGCGCTATGCAGCATGGACACTACCTAAAGGCGGAACGTTTTTTTACCAAAAGTTTCAAACAACAACTTATTGTCCCAGAATGAGGATGCCTTTGGATTTCCTTGAGGTAGTTTTGGAAGAGCAAAGCTTTTCCCAGAACAGTTTTCTATTTTCCCTTGAGAGGTTCCATGAAAAAAAACTCCTAACCAAAGAGGGACAAAATTCATTGTTAATGGCTGCCCTTTTTTTGCTAGTTGAGAAAATAAATCCCCGACCATATCCTTCTTTGGTGTTCAAAGACTAGATGCTTATGGGATCCATATCTCCTGAGTAATGGCTAGATAGTGGCAGATGAGATTGAGGCATAGAATGGCTTCAGAGTTGGAAAGGGTAGGCAAATGCTGCTATCCTTCATTCAGGCTTTTCTTTGAGTTTTTTGGCAGTTGCTTTCTTTTTACTAGAGTTAGAAATCTTTGATCAAGAGCTTGAATATTTTGCTAAAAAAGCTCACCCTTCCACTAATTGAGAGGGCATAAGGAACCTCAGATTTTTGCCTTGCTGACTTGTAAACGATTTTGTGTGGGTGGCATTCCCAAAGTCCATGTTTAGAAAATTCTGCTTTTCCTCACAAAAATGAGAAAGACAACAGCATAGACTTTTAAAAATTAAGGATTATTATCACACATTTTCAAGAAATCCAGTGTTTCAAGATTTTAGAATCAATTATATACTTAACCCTATAAGTTAGCGCTGTAAGTAAAGAAACTAGGAGATATACCTCCTTGAGATCAACCCATTCCCAGGTCTCATTTGCAGTGCCTATATCATAAACCAGAGCATGTCGACCCTGAAAACAAACAAAATCTTCTGAGGATCACTGAATAAATCTTTTGGTAAATATTTAAAATGCTACAGTATTATAAAACAATTAATTGCAAAGTGCCACATATTTAGAAACACTAAGCTGGGCCTTGCAAAAATTTTCAGTGGACTAATTTAAAGGGGAAATTGGTGGGAAATTAACTAACAGCAGAGCTTCGTATCCAATAAAAGTTGCAAGAATATAAAAAGCTTGCTATTATGATCAAAATAAAGAAAGCTCAACTCATACCCTGGTACGAATTAACTGGATAGGAACTAAGAAAACACAATTAGCCACCATAAAAATAAGAAGAAAAGGCTACTAAAAGCATTTATGTCAAGCCAGGGCATATTTAGCAACAAAATCCGTTCACCATGAGATTTAAAAAAATCAGAACACATAATCAAAAAAGAGACACACAGGCAACTTTTAAAACATTGAACACACATACATCATCAGCTCCGTGTTCAATAATGACAACCTCATAGAAGTGGTTATCTTCAGGCCATCTTGTCCACACTTTTCTTCCAATTAGTCGATCAGCCCTTGTTCTTTCAGCAGGTTCATTTGCCAAAGTGGCACCTGATGACATCCGGTTAGTGAATTGTCTATTTCCAGCAGAACCTGCAGAGGCATACTGCATTGATTGGATTGCACAAACAAGTCAGATAATGCAGAGGGCCGATGAAAATAAAAAGTAAGGAAAATGACTTATTTACAATCTTTTTATATTCAAGAGCAAAAATTAAATTACTTGATCAGTAATTTTTTTCTTTCTTTATTTTTTTATTGTTCTTTTTTATTTTTTTCGCTTCCAGATGAAGGTCAAAGCAGAGAACATACTGATGATGTCTTTTGTTTCTTGCGGGATGCTGAAATGTTAGGACTGGGTAATATATCATGAACAGGTTGAGATGTGCTAAGTCGTGCAACTTGTTGTCCACCTCCCTGTCTCCAGTCCCTGACAGAAGTTTCCAAAAAGAACCAATCAAAAAAGAAAATTAAAAGGAAAAAAAAAGATTCCTTGCATGTCAATATAAATATTCCTAGATTTAATATTCGGTATGCATTCAGACCTTATCCTTCGAATGATATCATCTCCATGGACCTTGTTCAGCAGTTCTCTGTGTTCATCATCTGATACTCTCAGTTCTTTTCTGAGTTCTGTGATCAAGCTTTCCTTCTCCTGAAGAAGGGTCCACATACCAGAGTCATAAACAGATGAAAATGAAATGTGACATCTACAACCAAGAAGAAATAGGAATAAAGCACATGTGAGTACCCAAGTAATGGCATCAGACTGAGCTTTAAAAGCACGCAATACAGCACAGTAAGCTTCCTGTTCAAGTTGGTGAATTTGAGCCTCCATATCGACGTGCATCCTAGAATATGGGTTAGAACTTAGAACAGACCTTCCATTTCCTGCAACATGAACACCTCTTGGAACTCTATTTTGATGTGAGGGAGGGAGATCATCATCAGTACCTACATTTATTTATATAGAAATGTGCATGATTATCATAAAATCTTGCAGCCAATGACAGTAAATTTGCTCTAGATTCTATTCTTTTTAAGGCTTTATATTGATCTCCTACCAGATTCATGCTCAAGCTAATTACTATCATTGCAATTAACTTTTTACTCTTTATATGACATGTAACTCAAATTCTGATGTCTGGAAAACACAAATAAACACAAGGTCGACATAAGACAGAGATTTGTCGATGTTAATTTGATCGGGCATGCGAATAACTATCCCCAAAAGGCTCTTGATTGTACTAATTAGCCAACAAGTCACCCCGAAAAGTAACACAAGAAAAGTTCAAGCTCAATTTCGTCTTGCTATCCAACAGATGAACTATTTTTGGCCTTCATAGAACAGGAAACACAACTGAGACCAAATTTAGTCCTAGAGTTTTCCTTTTTCTCCGAAATGCAAAACAAAAGTAAGTAATTGGTCCACGCAGGTCTCAGAAACCAATTTGGCATATTAATCACCACATGTTCAAAAATTTACGGCATTTCTTCCAGAACTCTATCCTATATTTCAATGGTTTGACAAATTCTCAATGCATATGAGCCACTTAGCTGAAATCCCAACTGACATAATAATTAGTAATCCACCTGAATAACTCTTCCAAGACATTATTCGGAAAGTGCACTCTTTCTGTTGCCAGTTTCTTTCTGTTTGGTCCACAAACAATAGTCAGCTATAAGGGTGGGAATGAACCTTGTGAGCATTAAGGACTTCACAGTTTGCACTCAATAAGTTCAACGAAAGTAAAATGTTGTTAGTTTTTCTTTTTGAAATAAAGGCACCAAACGGCTGCCGCCCATTTAAAGTATTTACAAGTCCATTAACAAATAAATGAATTCTGCAAAATCCTCCATAGCAACCAGAGAATGACCTTGTAACAAAAAAACGTTGTTAAAGTGTATCTTATTCAAATCTAGAAGCCTTTTAATCTATGAATAAATGGAAGATTCTCCATTTCTTCTGATATGGCTCTGTTGAAATGAAATTTAAATTTCTAGCCCTCTCATGCCCCTCATCGATTTCTCTGAAATTACCCTAATGCAAACACTAAGAGAGGAACCCCAAGTAAACATACAAACTATTCACTGAGGCATATTATCAACTCAACGACTCAAACTCCATCAAAGATGAGTATCAACAGAATGAAGAATCTAAACCCTAAACCCTGACCTACCCGCACCACCCCTCAAAACCCTCATTCACGAACTGCCCCAACATCGAACCGCGAAGAAAAATTCATGCGCTAATCGTTCCATCCCACTCTAAACTCTAAACGCCAGATTGTCATAGCAGTAATTGGCACAGAGATTCATTAATCGATAAACTGGCATGCATTGTTCACAAACGATAACGATGTCAATGAACACAAACATACCACTACTATCGGAAACTTGATAGGCCATACCAAGAAAAACCGAAACAATAAAAAACGATCTCTTGCTGTCACCGAGGCGAGAGAAAGATTAAAAAAACCCCGTTAAATAAGCTCCAATTCTCCGGCGAATTGGACAATAACCGAAAGGCGCGAGCAGGTCAATGTGTTGACAAGATGTTCAACAAGCATCGGAATTTCGACACGCAGGTTTTGGCCCAAACTTCTGTACAGAAATAAGAATTTACTGAGGAAAAGCTCGGATTTTTCAGAGAAAGCAAGAAAGAGGGAGATTTGATTTCAAGATGGGAGATTTATATGGGAAGAGAGATTTCGAGATCGGTTCAATGGTTGGCGAAAGAGGGCAAGGACGAACGTTGCATCTGGCTTCGGGACTTGAAAGTTATTTTAATCAACGTTTTCCGTTCGTTATTTTTAGTTGATTCTCAGTTCAGGCCCAGTAAGGGCCCAAAATTATACCATTTTAAGACCATTTAAGAGCCCAATATTTTACTAATTTAGGCCCAGTTCTGATCCAATATTTTAGTGCCTTAAGCCCATTTGTGGCCCAAGATTTGTCTTCAGGCCCAATTTGGCACCACCTTTTTATTATATTCGGCCCAGCTCTGGCCCAATTGTAGTATATTACGCCCAATTAGGGCCCAGTAATTTACTATTTAAGGCCCAGCTCTGACCCAATATTTTAGTATTGAGGCCCTTACAGCCCATTATTGTACTATTTTAGGCCCAGCTCTGGCCCAATATTTTACTCTATTGGGCCCAGATCTGGCACAATTGTAGTGAATTAGGCCCAATTAAAGCCCAATAATTTACTAATTTAGGCCCAGATCTGGCCCAATGTTTTTGCATTAAGGCCCGTCGCAGCCCATTATTGTACTACTTTAGGCACAGCTCTGGGCAATATTTTAGTATTTAGGCCCAGTTATGGCCCATGATTTTACTTTTAGGCCCAGATCTGGCCCAATATTTAGTGCTTTAGGTCCCAATATTTACTATTTTAGGGCTCGCTGTGGTCCAAGATTGTGCTTTTTAAGGCCCAGCTCTAGCCCAAAATTTTACAATTTTAGGCCCGGCTTCGGCCCAATTTTTAGTATTAGGCCCAGTTAGGGGCTAAGATTTTACTATTTTAGGGCCAATTAAGGCCCAATATTTTAGTATTCCGGCCCATATAGGGTCCAATATTTTAAGGCCCGGTTAGGGCACAATAGTGTACTATTTTAGGCCCAAGTTGTTATTTAGGCCCATATATGGCACATTAAGGGCCCAACTGTGGTCCAATATTTTGCTTTTTAGGCCCAGCTCTGGCCCACTATACTTTTTACTTTACACCACTTAGGGCCCAATGTTTTACTATTTAGGCCCAGTTTAACTAAAGTTCCAAATATGTAAATGAAATATTAATACATATATATATATATATATATATGCACATATTAATAAATTAATCGGTAGACGTAAGTACAATATGATATACGGTAAATATATAATAAGGATTTACTAAATTTTAATTAAATAAAAAATTTAAACAAATTAACTCTTATAATTATAATACAACCAAAAATAAAAATATAGCACAAGATATTTAAATTTTCACATTCTAAATTAGTATTCAAGTATAAATAAATTAGTAAAAGTATTATACATATATATATGTATATATAGACACACACACACACATACATGCATATGTAGCTTTACTTCCAAAATTAAGAATTTTTGTTGATGGGCAACTAATTTTGTTTCGTTCATAAGAAATCAACACAAATATATGGATATCTGCAATATATTTCCGTTGATACGTACATGGAACTTGCCTCACAAGCATACATATATGTTGGCCATAGCTACCTGTTTCACCAAACCACTAAAAAGACATGGCAGCAGAGATCACACCACCTTCTCCTAATTTACATGTATATATATAAGCTTCGTTGTGTTCCTTATCAGAAACCAAAAACAAAACAATATACATACATCTATTGCGCACACACACATATGTATATATATACATAGAAACTTTGGGCAACACACCAGGAGATCGAGAGAAAATGAAGGTGGTCCAATGGATTCCTGTTCTAATGCTTGTTGCTTGTTTGTTTCCATGGTCTGTTGAATCCATGGTTCGACATTACAAATTCAATGTAAGCTTAACTTCTTTTCCTTCATATAAATACGTACATAATTATGTGTGTGTGTGTGTATATATATATATATATAATATATTTATGCATGCAGGTGGTAATGAAGAATACAACAAGACTGTGCTCGACAAAGCCCATTGTCACAGTCAATGGTCAGTTCCCTGGTCCAACTCTGATTGCCAGAGAGGACGACACTGTTCTGGTCAAAGTGGTCAACCATGTTAAATACAATCTTAGCATTCACTGGTACTTTACTAATTATAAAAATTAATTGAATAAACCAGATTAATTAATTAATTAATTGGTTAATTAATTGATGAGGCAGGCACGGGATCAGGCAACTTAGAACTGGTTGGGCAGATGGGCCTGCATATATCACACAGTGTCCAATCCAGCCAGGGCAAAGCTATGTGTACAATTTTACAGTCACAGGCCAACGAGGAACTCTTTGGTGGCACGCCCACATCCTCTGGCTCAGAGCCACTGTGCATGGCGCCATTGTCATCTTGCCCAAGCTCGGTGTCCCCTACCCATTCCCTAAACCCCACAAGGAAGTCGTTCTTGTCTTAGGTACTGACTCTTTTCCGCGGTGAAAAGTGCCGGGAAAGACCTGACTAATCGGCTTAAACAATGAGTTTTGTTCTTCTGTGCAGGTGAATGGTGGAAGTCAGACGTTGAAGCAGTCATCAATGAAGCTCTGAAGTCTGGCTTGGCCCCTAACGTCTCCGACGCTCACACCATCAATGGCTATCCAGGGCCGGTCCCACGCTGCTCATCACAGAGTAGATATACATCATTTAGTTGCAGATTTTAATGGTTAATCAGTCAAGTTCTTTTTCATACATCAGAATGATGGAGATGCTTAATTATTTGCAGGAGGCTATACACTAACAGTAGAATCCGGCAAGACCTACATGCTTCGAATCATCAACGCTGCACTCAATGAGGAGCTCTTCTTCAAGATCGCCGGTCACAAACTCACTGTTGTTGAAGTTGATGCTGCTTATACCAAGCCCTTCAAGACAAATACCATTGTCATTGCCCCCGGCCAGTCCACCAACGCTTTGTTAACAGCTGACATTGCTAATGGTGGCAAGTACATGTTGGCCGTCTCGCCATTCATGGATGCACCTATCGCTGTTGACAATGTCACCGGCACCGCTACTGTACACTACTCCAGCAGTAACCTTAGCTCAACTCCGACGATCCTTGCATCAGCTCCTGCAACAAACGCCACACCTGTTGCAGACAACTTCACTGATTCCTTGAGAAGCTTGAATTCAAAGAAGTACCCAGCAAAAGTTCCATTCAAGATTGACCATTCCCTGCTTTTCACCATCAGCCTCGGCATTAACCCTTGCTCTACCTGCATCAATGGCAGCCGTGTGGCTGCAGACATCAACAACGTCTCCTTCGTCATGCCCAAGGTTTCTCTGCTCCAGGCTCATTTCTTCAACATTAGCGGAGTCTTCACAGATGATTTTCCCGGAAAGCCTCTGAACCAGTACAATTACACAGGGATTCAACCTGCGAACTTGCAGACCATGAGAGGCACCAAGCTATACAGACTCACTTATAACTCCACCGTAGAGCTGGTGCTGCAAGATACAGGGATGATAACACCAGAAAACCACCCAATACATTTACATGGATTCAATTTCTTTGTTGTTGGAAGAGGTTTGGGGAATTTCAATCCTCAGAAAGATCCCAAGAAATTCAATCTTGTTGATCCAGTGGAGAGGAACACCGTTGGAGTACCCTCTGGTGGATGGGCTGCTATCAGATTCAGGGCAGACAATCCAGGTAAAATAATAAAGAAATTAGTCATGAGATTGTGTATGTACATATCTATTTAGTGTCTTCTTGTGTGCGTGTGTATATAGATATATCTGTATGTATATGCATGCATGGATGCGTGAGATTAATTCTTTTGATGTTTAAATTTGCAGGAGTGTGGTTTATGCATTGCCATCTGGAAATTCACACAACATGGGGACTTAAAATGGCATTTGTGGTGGATAACGGCAAAGGCCCTAATGAATCTCTTCTTCCTCCTCCCAGTGACCTCCCCAAGTGTTGAAGAGATTACAATTTTGGAAGAAGAGTTCTTTTTTAGCAGAGCTATTAAAGAAGAAGCTGCTCGGAGTTGAAATAAATATCTTACAAGTGCATATATAAACTGGGATTCTTTTGTTTGTGCTTGATTTCCCATTTAAATTTCTTAATTCGGCCTGTAATTTTTGGGTTATAAATGTTGTAATAATTTCACAATTAAAAAGAAAGCGAAGTGAAAATTTAAAAGAACCAGATATTCAGCAACTATTTTCTCTGTCTATTATCTCCCAAGTCCAAACCTATAGAACAACAATCTTTTAAATGCTTATATCTTCACATTACTGATGGCTCATACACTTGAACCAGAAGTGTTGAAAAAAGGGAAGGGACCAATAGAGTGAATGAAATGAAGCAAATTAAGCATATTTCATTTCACCAACTTGTCTTATTAATTAAGATCTTCCAAGAAGAAATCAGGGAGTGTGACCTGCAAGATAAGAAAAAATAAGAAGACACAGACAGTTAGGTTTTTCATTTTGGTTGTTTTCATAACCTGCTCATAGAAATTGTGATGGTGAAAAAGTTTAACTTTCACCTTGGAACGAGAATAGAAATGAACCATATAAGATGTTGATTGGACAAAAAGATTTGACAGTTGCAAGCTGTAAATAATTAAAACAAAGAACAGTCAATATATATAATCAAATTGAGTCTTAAATCTCTGGAAATTCAATAACAGTGTTAATCTTAGTTAGATGTGAAATGATTAAAGGAAGCAACATGAGAGAGAGAGAGAAGTTCAGTAATTCCTTCATAGTCTTTTATTTAATCCATCTCCACGACAGGGTTAACACATGCCTGAATGCTATTACTCCAAGACCAAAACTCAGGATTTTTTGGTAAACAAAGATTCAGATTTAAAGTCATGATCATGACCATGATAAAGATGAAGTCAAGATCATGATCAAGTCGACATAGCACCATAAATCACGGAAATCATGACCAAAAGCCAAGAGAAAACATACAAGACTATAAGAGTATTTGATCAGTGAAATTGAGGTTAAAACAAATATGGCTGCAATATACAGGAGATGAAAGGAAAACCCAATCCACCAAGAAACTGAAATTGGTGACGCAAGCAAATGAGGAAACAACTAAGAAAATGTTCTAGATTATAAAGGCTTAAACTTAGTGATGTTGCAAGATGCACCAGATACAGTCATGGCAGGAATGTGTGGGCTTCAATCAAACTGAAAATTTTGAGATAACGGTCACAATGTGGCTACAGTAGAAATGAATGGTAATCATAATAACAATAAAAGAAGTAATCAAAGCTACTTTATGAAAACAAAAATATAGTCCTTATATCTTCTAAATTAATTTCAGAAGAGCACATAAAGAAAGTGATACTGCCTGATAGCCAGTCAAGTAGGACTCATAATGGAACCTCAACCTGTATGAAGCAGATTCAATCAGTCTTTATCATGCTCTTTGATCAATACAAATGGTGAAGTGCAATAAAAGGAAAATATACATTCTCAAGCTTTTTCTACTTGGTCAACATTTTGACTGCCAAAAGAAATGCATGATAGCATTGGTGCTACAGAAATAAATCATCCCCAACCTAGTGCAGGAAAAGGAATACCTGAAAATGATAGGATGAGAAAAACTTCAAGAAAATGATAAAATGGAATCATGACAGGTAACTCTACTTTGTACAGCTTATCTATTCAGGTGCAGTATATTATATAATGAGGAAATCAATCAAATCAGTGAATGAGATCAAATTCAACTGATCAACACAGCTGCAGCAAAAGGTGAAAACAAATAAAGTTCATAGATTATGATCAATAAAGCAAGCATGTTTTAATGCCTTTATATTAATATGAAGCAGCAACACTTAAAACACTCAAAATTTTAACCAAAGAATGTATATACCAATGCTGAGCTACCACAGAACCATGCATCCGAAAGCAGGCAGAGATTAAAAAAAAGCACAAGTTCTTGTTTACCTATACCCACTATATACGTGCATATCCAGTGTTACATGCATCACTTTATAGAAACTATAGCTACTTGAATATGACAAAACTAGTCTTATCGTAATTTTTACAATTGTCAATAAACTGATAACTGCATAGCTTCAATGTAAATTGTTGAGCAATACTCTACTTTTACCAATTAACATCCAGAAAATAATATAAATCCTAAACTTTAGTTTCTCAAATTTAACTAAAATCATCAGGTAAGGTGAGTTTCTCTAACTCAATCACCAAAAGATAAACTTAAGCTAGTAATCCAAGATAAGACAAAGCAAACTCTTCTAAAAAATCAGTGCGAATATGCAAGTTAAAAGAGAAACTAGAATATAGACAGATATATACAAGAAGACTGAGCTTCCTCCCATAGAGGTGAGCTGCAACAGCAGGTAGCCTGAGCTGGTGAGCTCGAATCTCCTAAGAAAAGGCTATTTGCTCAATGCAATCAAATTTATATTACAATAGCAAAGAAGTCACTCTAAAATCATATCAACCACTTAAAACATTCAATCATGTCACGCTGTGCCCTAATGTACAGCAACCACATTCTACATACGTAGATTATAATAAAAGCGGAATTTGAGCGGGTAATCCTATTATTTTCCTCCGTTTCCGGACCTGACCCATCTGAACCGAATCATTTAGCATAAAACTTTCAGAACGAAAAAAACTTAACCGAGACCGTAGAGAAGACTAAAGCTAAAATTAGAAATCAAACCTGAAATAGTCAGTAAGCCTGAACCAGAAGATAAGCATGATGAGACATCAAAACCTAAATCATATCAACATGCCCGGGCTGCACGAACCTCTTCTGCAAGCCGAAGTAGGCTCTTTTGCTGCCCTTCATGGACGGACAAAACTCGAAGCTTTCTGGACAAGACACCGTTGTGCCATGACCGCACCAATCCGACGAAACAAATTATTGCTTCTACAGATCTCTTCATCATTTCATTTGCTTTTATTATAAAATTATCTTTTGGAAGAAAATAAAATAAAACTTAAATTTTTTCTAAAAAATTTATTGTTAATTAAAAAATAAAATTTTATTTTTATATTTCAAAATTTAAGTAAATAGTAATATTTAAAACTTGATATTTGATATAATATTATTAATTATAGTTAATATTTATATACTATCTTATTTTTCATTTAAAAAAATAAAAAAATTGTGATGTGCATTTTCTAGTATTATATGTATATTAGATGAATTTAAAATTAGCTTAGCAATGATTAATAAAATAATTAAAATTGTATAAATTAAATAAGATTTAAATATATATATATTATCATTAAATAAATAATACATACAATTATCCTACATGATAAAATTAAATTATTTAATTTTAATTATTTTATATATGAAAGTTAGTAATAATTTTAATCAGCAGAAATTATTTTTAGTCGATTCTCAATTCAGGCCCAGTTAGGGCCCAAACTGTTACTATTTTAAGCCCAGATTAACTGAAGGTCTAAGTATATTACTCAATAATTATATGTATATATATATATATATATATTAATACATACTTGTATACATGTACGTACATATTATATACATACATATATATATATGTAGCTTTACTTCCAAAATTAAAAATTTTTTGTTGATGGGTAACTGATTTTGTTTTGTTCATAAGAAATCAAACACAAATATATTCATACTTACAATATATTTCTATTGATACGTATGTGGAGCTTGCCTCGCAAGCATATATCTATATACATGTTGGCCATAGCTAGCTGTTTCACCAAACGAGTAAAACGACATGGCAGCAGAGATCACACCACCTTCTCCTAATTTATTTGTATATATATAAGCTTCGTTTTGCTGCTTATCAGAAACCAGAAACAAAATAATATCTATACATCTATTGCATATATATACACACGTACATAGAGAGAGAGAGAGACAGATACTTTGGGCAACAGGGGATTGAGAGAAAATGAAGGTGGTGCAGTGGTTTCCTGTTCTACTGCTTGTTGCTTGTTTGTATCCATGGTCTGTTGAATCCGTAGTTCGGCATTACAAATTCAATGTAAGCTTAATTTCGATTCCTTCATCATACAAATACATACATAATTACATATATATATATGTGTGTGTCTGTGTGTATATACATATAATATTTATGCATGCAGGTGGTAATGAAGAAGACAACGAGACTCTGTTCGACGAAGCCAATCGTCACTGTCAATGGCCAGTTCCCTGGTCCAACTCTGATTGCCAGAGAGGACGACACTGTTCTGGTCAAAGTAGTCAACCATGTTAAATACAATCTAAGCATTCACTGGTACTTCACTAATTATAAAAATTAATTAAATAAACCAGATTAATTAATTAACTAATTAATTAATTACTTGATGAGGCAGGCATGGGATCAGGCAACTGAGAACCGGTTGGGCAGATGGGCCTGCGTATATCACACAGTGTCCAATCCAACCAGGGCAAAGCTATGTGTATAATTTTACGGTCACAGGCCAACGAGGAACTCTTTGGTGGCACGCCCACATCCTCTGGCTCAGAGCAACTGTGCACGGCGCCATTGTCATCTTGCCCAAGCTCGGTGTCCCCTACCCATTCCCTAAACCCCACAAGGAAGTCGTTCTTGTCTTAGGTACCGACTCTTTTCCGGGGTGAAAAATGCCGGGAAAGACCTGACTAATCGGCTGAAACTTTTGAGTTTTGTTCTTCTGTGTAGGTGAATGGTGGAAATCAGACGTTGAAGCAGTCATCAATGAAGCTCTGAAGTCTGGCTTGGCCCCTAACGTCTCTGACGCTCACACCATCAATGGCTATCCAGGGCCTGTCCCAAGCTGCTCATCACAGAGTATATATACATCATATAGTTGCAGATTTTCATGGTTAATCAGCTAGGCTTTTTATTCATACATCACAACGTTGAAAATGGTTAATTATGTGCAGGAGGCTATACGTTAACAGTAGAGTCCGGCAAGACTTACATGCTTCGGATCATCAATGCTGCACTCAATGAGGAGCTCTTCTTCAAGATTGCTGGTCACAAACTCACCGTTGTCGAAGTTGATGCTGCTTATACCAAGCCCTTCAAGACGGATACCATTGTCATTGCTCCCGGCCAGTCCACCAACGCTCTGTTAACGGCTGAGGTCTCTCATAGCGGTAAGTACATGTTGGCCGTCTCACCGTTCATGGATGCACCCATTGCTGTTGACAATGTCACCGCCACCGCTACCATACACTACTCCAGCAGTTCTCTAAGCACAGCTCCCACGACCCTTGTATCAACTCCTGCAACAAATGCCACACCTGTTGCAGACAACTTTACTGATTCCTTGAGAAGCTTGAATTCAAAGAAATACCCAGCAAAAGTTCCATTAAAGATCGACCATTCCCTGCTTTTCACCATCAGCCTCGGCATCAACCCTTGCTCTACCTGCGCCAATGGCAGCCGCGTGGTGGCGGATATTAACAACGTCTCCTTCGTCATGCCCAAGTTTCTCTGCTCCAGGCTCATTTCTTCAACGTTAGTGGAGTCTTCACAGATGATTTTCCCAGAAAACCTCTGAACCAGTACAATTACACAGGGACTCAACCTGCGAACTTGCAGACCATGAGAGGCACCAAGCTATACAGACTCGCTTATAACTCCACTGTAGAGCTAGTGCTGCAAGATACAGGGATGATAACACCAGAAAACCACCCAATCCATTTACATGGATTCAATTTCTTTGTTGTTGGAAGAGGGTTGGGGAATTTCAATCCTCAAAAAGATCCCAAGAAATTCAATCTTGTTGATCCGGTGGAGAGAAACACCGTCGGAGTACCCTCTGGTGGATGGTCTGCTATCAGATTCAGGGCAGATAATCCAGGTAAAATAATAAAGAAATTGTTCATGAGATTGTGTACGTACATATTTATTTTAGTGTCTTTTTGTGTGTGTGTGTGTGTGTGTGTGTGTGTGTGTGTGTGTGTGTGTGTGTGTGTGTGTGTGTGTATATATGTGTGTGTGCATGTATGGATGTGTGAGATTAATTCTTTTGATGTTTTAATTTGCAGGAGTGTGGTTTATGCATTGCCATCTGGAAATTCACACAACATGGGGACTTAAAATGGCATTTGTGGTAGATAATGGCAAAGGCCCAAATGAATCTCTTCTTCCTCCTCCCAGTGACCTCCCCAAGTGTTGAAGAGATTAAAATTTTGGAAGAAGAGTTCTTTTTTAGCAGAGCTATTAAAGAAGAAGCTGCTCAGAGTTGAAATAAAATCAATAGCTTACAAGTGCATATATAAACTGGGATTCTTTTATTTGTGCTTAATTTCCCATTTAAATTTCTAAACTGGGCCTATAATTTTTGGGTTGTCAAATGTTGTAATAATTTCAAACTTAAAAAGAAAATGAAGTGAAAGTTTAACAACAAGCAGTTATTCAGCAACTATTTTCTCTATCTATAATCTCCCAAGTCCCAACCTATAGAACAACAATCTTTTAAATGCTTATATCTTCACATTACTGACGGCTCATACGCTTGAACAAGAAGTGTGGAAGAAAGTGAAGGGACCAATAGATCAGTCAATTTATATAATCAAATTAAGTCTTAAGTAGCTGGAAATCCAATAACAGTGTTCATCTTGGTTAGATGTGAAATGACTAGAGGAAGCAACATGAGAGAGAGAAGTTCAGTAATTACTTCATCATCTTTTGTTTTATCCATCTCCATGTCAGGGTTAACACATGACTGAATGCAATCAGTCCAAGACCAAAACTCAGAATTTTTTTGTAAACCAAATTCAGATTTACAGTCATGAGCATGACCATGACCATGATCAAGATGAAGTCAAGATCATGATCAAGTCGACATAGTACCACAAACCACGGAAATCATGACCAAAAGCCAAAAGAAAACATACAAGACTAAATGAGATTATGATCAATCAGAAATTGAGGTTAAAACAAATGTTATGGCTGCGATATACAGAGGAAGAAAGGAAAACCCAACTCACCAAGAAACTGAAATTGGTGACGCAAGCAATTGAGGAAACAACTAAGAAATGTTCTAGATTATAAAGGCCTAAACTTAGTGATGTTGCAAGTTGTACCAGAATCCACCATGGCAGGAACATTTGGGCTTTAATCAACTGAAAGTTTTGAGAGATCGATCATAATTGTTGAATATGACAAAGTTTGTCTTGTTGTAACTTTTACAATTATCAATAAACCGATAATTGCATAGCTTCGGTGTTAAATTGTTGAGTGTTACTCTTCTTTTACCAATTAACATCAAGAAAAGAATATAAACCCTAAATTTTAGTTTCTCAAATTTAATCAAAATCATCAGGAAAGGTGAGTTTCTCTATTTCAATTACCAAAAGAAACTAGAATCAAGACAGATAAAAAATAAATTTCAGCTAGATTAGAAAACAAACATATACATACAAGAAGACATTGAGCTTCCTCTCATAGTGACGAGCTGCAACAGCAGGTAGCCTGAGCTGGTTGTTAGAATCTCCTAATAACAAGGAACACAGTCTAAAATCATATCAATCGCTTAAAACATTCAATCACATTACACTGTGCCCTAATGTACAGCAACCATATAGAGACCATTCTACATATGTATATTAGAAGAAAGGCACACTTTGAGCGGGTAATCCTATAATTCTACTCCATTTCCAGGCCTGATCTATCCGAACCAAAATAAAACTTCAGAATGGAAAAACTGAACAGAGACCATAGAGAGTACTGAAGCCAAAATGAGAAATCAAACCATAAATAGTCAGTAAATCTGAACCAGAAGATGAGCATGATGAGACATCAAAACCTAAATCATACCAACACGGATGAGCTGGACGAACCTCTTCTGCAATCCGAAGTAGACCCTTTTGCTGCCCTTCATGGATGGACAAGATTCGAAGATTTCTGGAGAAGACACCATTGTGCCATGACCACACTAACCTGTAAGAGTAAACCACAATTGGACCATCCAATTTTGATTTGTTTTTACTACAAAATTTTAAATATATATATATATAAGAAAATTTAATTAAAAAAAAATTATAGTCAATCAAAAATTAGATTTTATTTTTTAAAAAATTAAGTAAATAGTTTATTATGTATATTATTACATTAATTTTATTTTCATATTTTCAAATTTAAGTAAATATTAATATTTAATATATGATCTTGATATAACATATAAAATTATAATTCATTTAAAAAAAAATTGTCATATTTTTTAGCATTACTTATATATATATATATATAGATTAGATATAAAAATGACAAATTTAGTTTAACAATTATTAATAAAATATAAAATAAAATAATTGAAATCATATGAATTTACTGAATATGAAAAAATAGAATTTAAATAGAATTTTATCTAATTTAATTAAAAAATCAAAATTATTAATTATTAAATAAACTTAATAATTTAAAACAAAAAGGCTTAGGCTTTTTTTAACGGCAAACCACGTGCAGCGAAGACGCATGTGCATGTTAGCCCAGCTTTTTATAAAAAGCTCCTTCCTTCTTTCTCACCTTTCAGATCCTCTCTCCCATTTTCTTCCTCGCGCAAACAACCTGCTTCTTATGATCATGAAGGAGATGATCAGTTGCAGCACAACTCTGCAAGCTACAGCTCTTTTTACCTTGCTTGTCCTTAACATCATCTCTTCTTCGTTATGTCTCTTTGATCATCGTGAAGAAGAAATTACAGTAACGATTATCAGTAGAAGAAAACACCACGAGAGGAACCCGTCAAGGACGAGGAGGATGCTGACGTCATCGTCGTCAATGGCGGGGTCTTTCTCTGCAAGTAGTTTAGTAGACAAGGTGGTTTTCGGCGCCGGAGCAGCTGCCGGGAAAGAGCCCAAGAAAGTTGTAGAGCCAAGCCTGAGGAAAGCGCCACCGAGTGTCCCAAACCCGACTCAGAACTAATCTGATCGATCTCCCGGTGATCAACTGGATTATTTAATTTTGAAAAATTAATATTCACTAATTTAAATATATATATATATATATGTATAGATATATTTTAGATAAGTTTCTGATTGATTCATCTTTGATCTCTTTTGGTCAAGTTTTTCAGCATATATATATAATTATAATGTCTTGTTTTAATTTTGTGTCACTCTATAGATACATATATTTATATATGTATGTATATATATAGTTGTAGCTAATATTTTGTTCTTAATTAATCTAACGTTCTAGAGAATATATATATATATATATATATATATATATATATATATATGGGTGTATATATATGATAGCTCGAGAGGAATTGTATGTAATGATCAGTTTATAAATAAAAAGTGAATTAGTTAGTAAATCTAATAACAAATATTTTGATTCTCTCAATTCGTTGTATTTTTTCAGACTTTCGTAATTCATTGTTGAAAAAAAGCATGTGTGTATATATATATATATATATACACACATATATTATGTTTGAGTTATGGAAAATGGTAAGAGTAATTTTAGATAAGCTCCCTTCATAGTACAGTGGCTGATACATAGGAAGATCATATATATATATATATATATATATATGTATATATACACACACGCGCATATATCACATGATCACATGAATAGATTCGCATGCAATAATTCAAGATCTAGTACTATATATTATAATTAAATTTCAAATTTTCATATATATACAAGAAACTTTAGCAACTCGTGGAATCATATATATATATATATATATTATGAAATATATAAAGTTTATTTACAAATATAAATTTAATTAAACTAGAAATTTGTAAAAATTCTTACAAAATTAGGATTTCGTATAATTTCAACTTGATTTTTATTATTTCCAAATACAAGTTTATTTACATCCTCCATGATTATATATACATACATATATATATATACATATACATATGTTAGGCTACAAGTTTTCGAAAAATACATATCAAAAGTCCAACATAGAGTTGGACCTAAAAGCCTATGAAATGAAATTATGTAATGGGTAGGTGTAGTGTATATATATATATATATAGAGCAAATAATATATATATATATATATATATATATTATAGATATAAAAGAAGTGTTGGCCGAGGGGCCTTTAGAGTTGGTGGTGGTGGTGGTGGTGGTGGAATGAGACCGTGACTAAATTGTCCATAATTATACAGATGGAAAGTGAATGCCGCACGTTGCATTGGCAGTTTCTTTGCTGTTTGGATCCTTTCAGTTTTAGGTGCAATACACCTTCTTTACAGCCCAAAAGCTTTTTTTAAAAAAATATTATATATATATATATTATTATTATTATTATTATTATTATCCTAAATAAATCTTATATATATATATATATATATATCAAATACTATTTTTTCTCATCATTAATTTTTTTTCTTCTGTTGAAAATTAAATTTTTTCAATGTGAAATATTAATGGCCCAACACTGTGTCGTGTCCTAAAGCCCCAGAAATTGACCCGTTTATGTTGGGCCAGGAAACCCGATAATGGGGTCGACCCGGACCGGCCCATTATAACTCAACTTCTCAGAAATTAAGAAAGAGTAGAACAGCCTTAATATTTTAATTATTATTTTTTAGATAATTATTTATATATACATATAGAAAAAAAAGTTCCACGTGGTTCTAAACCAAAATTATATCATAATCCAATGCTTTTTAAATTCGTAAATCTGTAAAAATTAAAAATATGATCTCGTACTGAATTAACGAAAAATGTAAGCGGAGACGTATGTGGATTAATCATGGAAGAATTATTCGCGTCGGGACGATAGAATTTATTTAACAAATAAAAAAAAATAAAATGTTGAATTTATTTATGAACCCACACATTTATATGAACATATATAAAACTATAATTTTATTTAATTATTTAATAAATTTAATATATTTATCCAAAACAGAGTAGAAA